GTCTGACTGGTGTGTCTCTCTCACACTTTGTGTTGGCATTGGCAGGCACTCTGCGCATTGAAAGGGCTCAGCAATGTGCTATCCTGGGCACGCTGAACATCGTCAAGTCGGTTCTTGGCATTCGGCATTAGGCTCCTCATGTTACGGGTAGAGCTAGTCCGTATAAACCTCCAATACTGCATTTGCTTTGACATCCATGAATGTGCAGTATGACGGTCCTCACAGCCTGATTTTTCTCTTGCCATTTGGGTATGTCCGGCACTCATCTCTTCCTCTATTTCTACAGGTCTATTCCTGTACTGGTAGTCCATTTTTGTGATTACTCTTTTTGTATTCGAATATGTCCTGTCCTCCTCCATCTTTTTGTATTCGAATATGTCCTGGCCTCCTCCATCGTTCTGCTTATTTCTGTCCGTCTCTCAGTTTCTGCGTCGGCTTTCAATATTATTTTTTGCTTTGGTTTTTACAATCCTTTTTGCTTCGGTCTCCAGTGCGTTGGCCATTTATCTATTTTTTCTCTCATTACCCTTGGTCTCTTTTGGCCCGGTGATGGGGTTCTTACCTCATGTCATGACAACGTCAGTGAAATAAAGCCAACTCCATAATAATAAGAGATAACTAGTATCAATTATGGTGGGTCTGGTGCTTCAGGAGTGCATTTCTCATACTTTGGCACTCTCAATAGGCATAGAACTGCTACTACTTCAGTTGTTTCTACTGATGTGTCGTGGCTATATGGCTATACTGTATTGTGTGTAGTCATGGTTGAGAAATTCGATGCTACACTCATGTTTCCTCTCTTTGACTGACTGTGCAGGTATGCTTGTGTGTGCGTGCGTGCATGAGTGCATGAGTGTGTGTATATGCATGTGTGTGTGCGCACATATGTGTGTATATGTGTGTGTTGGTTGGTTTAGCTGCCACAGGCAATCCGTTTGACTCGCCCGAGTTCATTGCTGACATACATCCGTGGCTGCTGACTGTGGATGCCGACATGTTCAGGGAGACAGCACAGCAAAACCAGCTGCTACGCACTTTTGCCATCGTCGCAAACCTAGAAAACATTCTGAAACGGGAAGGTCCGGAGGCGCACAACAAGAAGCTGATTCAAATCATCTCGGCCGATGAACTGCATGGATACAAGCGCTTGTGTCACGGCGTTGCCAAAATGGGCTTCCACACGCGAGAGCGTCAGATGTTGAACCAGCTACCAGAGAAGGATCGATCATACCTAGGCAAGTTACAGTATTAATACTATTGCTCAATAATGAAGGTGATCATTACGATGAATACGGTTCGCATGTCCCTCGTGGAGAGGCCTATCTATACATGAAATTTGTGAGCCGAATGTATCTTTCAAAAGTGATTTTGGCGGATGTAGCGATAAGAAGTTGAAACATCTCAAAAGATGACCACTCTCTTGTGACTCAGCACATTCCAATAATTTTGCCGGTGTACAATAGTCAGTAACTATAGGCAACCAGAAAGCCTGGTGCTCATTAGTGTGGTTTTCATGACAACAGACTCGTGTTTAGTTGAACGCCAACTGACAAACGTGTTCACTAAGATACAGCTAGGCTTCCGCGGAATGTGCGGGCATAATTTGGGGAATTATCGGTGTGATTTCTAAATTTAACTCGGATACTGAGCCAGTAAATATAAATAAAATAGAAGAAATCACATGGAAACGAGTTATGAAGCAACTATCCACTGCTGTACCAAGATAATAAACAGTCAGAAAGTGCGATAACAGGGCACAAAACTGACATTCAACGACCTGAGACTGATTTTTAAAACGGGAATTATTGGCATTTTTGTGAAAACATCGGTAAAATTTGAGCAATGCCCCTCTTAATTGTAGCATAGAAATTGTGGGCACAAGTTATGCGATCGAGTCCACCAACTAAATTTCCATGTTCAAATTTCCATGTTACAATTAATTCTTTTTTTCCTTGGCTCACCATCTGAATGCACTTTTTTCTTTTTCTTTTTTTCCATCTATAATAATCTTGATTTGCACCAAAAAGCTTGTGATCCTGCAGTTGATCGCCCTGCATTTCAAAAGAGAAAGAAAAAAAAGCTTCCAGCCCAGTCTGACGCGAACCGTGATTTTTTGCACGTACAAGTGGCAACAATACCGGTACGTGGCACGGTATCTGCAAAAAAGGAAGAGAAAAAGCATTTTTCAACTCGGATGGTGAGCCAATCACATTATGGTGAAAAAGGGGAAGGACAAAATGTTACGAGTCATGACTAACTGTCCACCAAATGACCAGATCTTATACAGTCAGCGAGTGCGACAAAATGGCACAAAACTGACGAGGAGTACTGAGAAATTCGGCGACCTGAGTGACACCTAGCTTCAACACTTCTCCAAGGCGCAAACCAACAACATTCCAACTTCGAAGGCTCAGGTTGGAGAAGTGTTGGAGCTAGGTGTCAGGTCGTCGAATGTCTCAGTACTCCTTGTCAGTTTTGTGCCATTTCGTCGCACTCGCTGACTGTATAAGATCTGGTTACGTTGGTGGACAATTAGTCATAACTCGTAACATTTTGTCCTTCTCCTTTTTCACCAAAAAGCCTTTTGTAAGAATTATTAGTGAAGTTGCTGGAATCATCGGTCGAAATTTTGAGCAATGTTCAACGGATTTATCGGTAAAAGTACCAGCATATTCCGCGGAAGCCTAAATACAGCCACAGTGAAAGTGCCTGGAATGTAGAGACAAGTCGTGTTCTCTACCTCTCCTCCCCTCACCCCCCTCCCCAGGTGGCATGTCCAGGATTGGGCTGAGAGGGGGGGGGGGGGGTGCGGCCGGGATGGGATGGGAGTAGATGACATCATGCTACTGTCCCAGGTCAGCCATTTTGAAAACCGATGTCAAGGAGCCGTAAATCTTACACACCACGAGCAGTATTTCTGTACACTGTACAGTCATAATCATTGTAAACTTCAAATTATTATTTTGCCGTTATGTGAGCGAATCAACTGCAATTATTTTATGCGAGTCCAACAATTTCTCACCGCTCAAAGCATCCTTTACATAGGCAGCGGCACTATGTCCACTTGTCACTGCGCGCTGTTCTTCATGTTCTGGCTGCTCGCTGACAACAGGTGCTTCCACGTCTGGCGGAGTGTGACTGTCAGTCCGCTCCGAAAGTTCAACTGGAATAACAGCGACTTCATCACTCCCACTGTTTCCTGTTGGAGCGGCAGCAGGAGTTGCGCCGCCACAGGAACGCTTTGCAAAAAAATCCATCCAGGCTCTGCAGACTGCTGGCTAGAGCTTGGCCTTTTGCCTTTTGGGATGTCACTGGGACATCGAAGAAAAGTCTTCGAGTCAACCAAAACACGATTCGAACGAGGATGCTCGCCCTCGCGGCCTCGGCATTCGAATCGTGTGTTGGTTGACTCGAAGACTTGTTTGTACGTTGAAGACGCGTCAAGCGCGTCCCCGCAGGGATCACACTGTACAACAGTACAATACATGCCGTGTACACAGTAGGGTCACCGTGTTTCTGTTTTTTAGTAGTAAAAGCCTCTTTTACGGGCGAACAAAACACAATTTGCCATGGCGGAGGATTGAAAACAAATCACATAATGATGACGTCGCATGTGATCAGACAGCAAGAGAAGCATAGCATAGTCCGCACAATCACGGGGCAAGGCTCAACGGGACACCCTAGCCTCCACGACAGCCAGGGAGGCACAGCCATCCATTGGAGGCTGCCAAACTCGGCGAGCCCCACGCAGACACATGCCACTCGAACGCAGCAGGGCGGAAGACAGCCTGCAGCGGAGGTGGGCAATTAGCACAGAATACGCTTCCCTCCCACGTAGCGACTGGAGATGTGCAATCCGGCTCACCAGTGCAGCGGCACCCTTGCCGCATCCTCCGGTGGAAGAGAGCACAAAGGGGAGAAAAGTGGATCGCTCCACTTCTCGGACTCTCCGATCATATCGACGCCGTTTCTCTTGCTCATGGTGCCGGTAGCAGCCAGAGAGAGAGAGGACACCGTGTTTCTGTAGCCGTGCATGCTCTGTAGCACTGTACTCTGTAGACTGAAGTGTGTAAAATCAACACCAGCTCGAGCACCGTAGGTCTACCATGGTCTACCGTACAACCGCTTTTGGGTTTTGGACGATCGTTTCAGGCCGCGCGCGCGCTCCCAGGCGCCCCGAGCCTAGCTAGCCCTGACTTTTTTTCGAAACCTAGGTCGAAACGTTTGAGGGGGGGGGGGGGCGCGGGCGCCCCACGCCCCCCCCCCCCCCCACACACACACAGACCCGCACATCACAGATGTTGTACATATGGCATTGTTACATTGGCATTGTTTCAATGTCCTCTTCTTCTACATTTCTCACAGATATACCCAGCTTAGTTGACATGGCAACCACAAGCGTACGGCGCCGAACCCGAACATGTGTGGACGGTGGTAATGGTGATAGTGATGGCAGATCAGAGTCACATATTGTGGACGGTGGTGATAGCAGACCAGGGTCACAGAGTGTGGACGGTGGTGATGGCAGACCAGGGTCACACAGTGCAGATGGACACAGTGAGGGACAAGCAAAAGGTTCTAAAATACTCATTTTTGTATGCCAGGCCCGCTGGAATCGGTCCGGTTGGCAAGGTTATTACAGGACTAACCTTTTCGCCACCAACGTGTCTTTAGTACTGTGGATGGCGTATGTATTCAACATTTCAATACCCAAAGTATGAAAGGTCACGATACTACCAGACCAATCAAAAACTGCTTTCGGCGGTCCTGTATGCTATCCCAGCCTTACCTTGAACAGGAAGGCAGCTTAAGAAAGAGGAGATGTGTATTTCCGTTTGAAAAATTGAGTTTCGGGGGGCTGCGCCATGACGTCATGCGGCCGCGCCACACCCTCCGCAACGTCATAGCGTGCAGCTAGGTCAAAAGGAGTGCGTGAAAGCAATAGTGTTAGTGCTATTTCAAATGATTTGGCGACCGATAGTAGGTGGTGCAAGCGACCCCGAAGACGGAACTCCCTGTGAGAGTGAGGATGCAGCCATGGATGACCTTCATGAGTTCGGTCTGGGGCTGAGAACCTCGGTATTCAGCTGAAGAAATGGCCACGCCGGCTGGTCAAGAGTGAGCGCTACTGAGTTTCCGACTGATGAAGAAGCAGCAGCTCTTGCAGACGAGGCTGATATAATTATCAGATCGCTGGAGAGCAGAGTCGCCAAAATTGAGAAGAGTGATGCGAGTGCTCTAAATGTTGTTCCATGCCGATTCGCTTTGACTCCATTAGCTGCCACATGGTGATGTTTTGGTGTGAACTTGGCATATTTCGGACTACTCAATTGGAGAACAGTGCAAGCCCTTTGAACCACGGGCACGACTCTTCGCTCGCTACGCTACGGGATTTGAAAGTTCTAGGTCCGGGAGCTGTTCGCTGTTTTGTCACTTGTCACGGTTGTGCACTCATCGCTGTAGCATAAAATAATGAGGCAGTAGCGGAAAACTAAAATTTTCTTTCTCAAAGCACAACCACCAGCACCGGCAAGGAGAAACGCACGTTCTCTGACTACATGACTGTACAATACGGCTGATAGTGCGAGTGTAGCACATGACAAATATGTGGGTGCATATCCAGTGCGTTTGCAGATTTGCGTGTTTCCCTTGCGATGGGCGTACATGTATACAGTACCTGGTACATGGTACATGGTTTACGTGTGTGTGTTTGTGCATGTGTACTTGTTGTGTGTGTGTGTGTGTCTGTGTGTGTGTGTGTGTGTGTGTGTTTGTGCATGTGTACTTGTGTGTGAGAGTGTGTGTGTGTGTGTGTGTGTGTGTGTGTGAGAGTGTGTGTGTGTGTATGTGTGTGTGTGTGTCCAATATGGTACAGTGGTATGTGCAGCGATTTCCAATCTTAGGTTGCGGGTTCGATTCCCGACGATTATGGTCACACACGTCTTTCTTCTCTTTCTCAGACTCCTCCTGACTTTTCTTTCATTCTCCTGGGTGGTTACCAACAGCCAGTGCATGCCGGAGTATGTGGTGTGATGTGTATGCTTGAAAAAAAAATGAAAAAGACCAAAAAGTAGGGATTCACTGGCCAGAAAAAGCCACTTCATAGCTGTGTGGTGTAGACCAGGCTGAATAGTGGCGGTCAATTCTTCAGCCTTGCAAGCTGTTGAATGGTGCAATCCCAGCACAAGCTGCTATGGTTTCTGCTGTAGCATCGCTATCATCGCCTCCGGCGATGGGCGTCCAATGGTCCAATGGGGTGTGTGTGTGCGTGTGTGTGCGTGTTCATGTGCGTGTGTGTGTGTCCACCCATGTTTATGTGCATAGCAGCAGAGGAGGGTCATGGAGCAGAAGAGAGGAATGAAACGGCATTGGAGCATGACGCATCCTCATCAGCTGCACCAGTGGCAGTACCAGCCCAGAGGCCCATACCATTCCTTGCAATGGTGGTGGGGTTGAGTCTTCTTATCATTGGTGCCATCAGTGTCTACTACGGTTTCAGCTCACCAAGTAAGATCTAGTCTCTGTGTGAAATACACTTCTCTGTCTATCTCTCCATCTTTTTCTGTCTGTCTGTCTCTCTCTCTCTGTCTCTCTCTGTCTCTCTCTCCCTCCCTCTCTTCCACCCTCCTTCCCTCTCTTCCTCACACTCTCCCTCCCTCCCTCCCTCCGGCTGTCAGGAGGATCAACAATAAAAAAAACATACCAAGAATTGACCTGGCTAGGGTGGTGATGTGAAAGTGGAGTGAGTTATGGAGAGTGCGTTTGGGAATTGTGAAGTGACGTTTTTTTTATGCAAGGGACAATATTGTAACAGGTATCCCTCTTGTCTGTTGTTGCCCAGCTACACTCCACATGGATCGTGCTGAAAAGCTGTCGAAGATTGGCTACGCCAATGGCAACAAAAAAAACGCACCGATCCTTGCAGCGACCACAGCAAACACTGTTGATAACAGTCCGTGCGTCAGATTCGCTGTGCCTGGACACCAGGCTCGCACGCGCGGCCAGGCACAGCGCGCATTAGTTCTTCCGCCTGTTTCTACGCAATATGGCATGCGTTCTATTTCTTTCCTGGCGGCAGACAGATGGAATGCTCTTCCCACTGACTGCCGTCAGGCCCCGTCTCTTACTCTGTATGTAAACATGGTAAAAATTCACCTAGGGTTCCCAGTAAAAAGGCAACGCCTGTTGGGACTCCCCTAGTAAAATAATAAAATCTACTACTACTACTACTACTAGATTCAAAATATCGGACTCTATCCGTTATTTTATTTTTCAAGAGTCAGTCTACTTTGAACGTTTTGAGCAATTTCTTTATTTGAATTGTTAGTTTCTAGTCATTGCAAGGTGGGCCTTACAAGGCCCTTATTCGTTCGAGTTCAGACCTGACACGCCGTCCATCGCCGGATAAGGCAAACTTCTATCCTCAGTTTCGAACGTTTTCTCGCGGGGTGCTTCTGTCCCATGCAGCATCACGTCTTCTCCGATTGTCGAAATTTGATTTTTTCTTTACGCAGGACTTTAGTTTAGTGCCGTCAAGTATTCCAGGCACGCGTAGTAACACCCACTACAACATCCAGAAGAACAAGCCTTAGTCTTTTAGTATGTGGTCTCTCGCCGGTGTCCAAGACCAAATAACACCACACCGACCAATTTTCTAACCTCTGTTTTCTCGCTATTTACATGTATTTGGAGGACAGCTGGAAACATGTAGCACTCACAATGAACACATCAGGACGGTGCAATAATGCCACTCAGCTATACCCTGGGCGTGTTTGCATTCCTGTCTGCGAGTTATGCCAAGCAACTCGTCTGGACACCAGTGCACATATCCGACAAATGCAGAATATTGGAATATTTTGGTAAAATAGTGAACGGCGAAAGACAAAAACCCAAATTGCAGCTACCTACAGACTAATATCCACACATGCTGGCCGTGTAAAGGAGTGTCAATGAGAATCTTCATTGTATTACTACAGAAGTGTCGTTTTCCAGGTGCCTTCTACCACCCCATCATCCCCTCTTCTCTGCCGACTTGCTCTTCTTACTCTTACTCAGATATATCAGCAAAAATTATTATTTTTTGTTCACAGATGTCTTGGTGCTAAAATAATCAGTAGTCTTTTCAGCACTTTCTTTGATTTAGTCAATGGTCAGGCCACGCGTGGTCAGGCTTCACGTCTGCTTCGTGTCCCGTTTTTGCCAGGTCCTTCCGGTCGATCCACTGTTCAGTTCATTGGTAGTGTGTACTGGAACTGCCTGCCGGCTGATGTCCACTCCATCACAACTCCTTCTGCATTTAAGAAAGCAATTACAAACGATATCTGAAACTCTCTTATCCTCTCCTAAGATCTCAAAGACGCATAACTATCAACATTCCCTCAACCCTGGAACCTTTGCATCCGTTGCATTTTTTTCATGAAAAATTCATCAAATTCCAATTCGTTACTTGTAGTACTCCCTCATTGATTTGTTTCCGTCTTCTCTTTGTGCCTTGTTCATGATTGTATTTTCCTCTTCCTCCTTTTCTTATATCACCACCTTCATCATTTTGCGAGAACTGTGGCAATACGCCCAGTGAGAAGGCAGATTTTGCCTGTGCTTCTGGTGAAGTAAAACAAAGCTAAACAAACAAGTGTATGAAACGGAATGTAGCGGACGAGCTCAAAGGTGCACGCCGAGCCAATATAGGCGGCATTGCAGCACATGTAAGACAGTTATGGACAAACAGGCACAGATGAAGTGTTCCCACTATGAAACGGCCTCAGCAGTTCCAAGGAGTAAGAACATGACAATAGCATAGAATGATGTCTTTTGCAAGAAGTGCTACGAGGCAGAGCTAGAATGGATAATAGTTGACAGCAGTGCAAGCATTCACAACAAAGCTATTACAGCTGATCGCTTGTCACACTCAGATCTGCGATAATTCTCTGGCTGAGCTAACAGCAGTACTGGGAGAACACATGGATGTTTGCACACTAGCACAAAGAAGCGAGTCATTCTCCTTCTGCGGAAAGGCTGCAATACCCAAGGTCCTCTTCGTGCTGCTCTCACACAATGCCAAGACGCGTTAATACCCAAGGTCCTCTTCGTGCTGTTCTCACACAATGCCAAGACGCGTTGGAGCACGATCTACCTGAGAAGACACACAGATCGCAAAAGATAAGGCAGCATTTTAAGTTTTTAACGACAGTAGGAATAATGCATGAAACACAGGAAGTAATTCAATGGAAAAAAAAGTGCTCCGCTCTTTATATACTACACTTTTCCAATGTTATACAGATAATACACTGAACTCCATGGAAGTGGATTTGGTTGTCCCTATGAGTATAATTGCAGTGGGTGCTGCTTCACTTGAACCATATTTCGGTTCCAGTGAAGCAGCACTCACTGCAACAATTTGCAGAAAAATTTCTCAATCGCACCGTCGTGCATCGCGTCGCAGAAGTGATATCATGCATCGCGCTTTAGAATGTTGGCATGGCTGGGCATCACTGCCGGTAGTTCTGCCAAGAGGACGTAACCCGGATTATTAACCCCTGGTGGATCGGTTACACACAGAAACACAGCAGGTTCGAGGCAGTGTTTGCATGCGATACACCATGCACACAAACCTTCATAAGGCTCTTATGAGAAAAAGCGCGCTTTCAATCTGGAAACCACAGCAGATCGTTGACGCACTGCCCCAGCCGGTACCCCAGTTTGTCGCTACGTCATGTGGGCAGCAAGCTCCTTCAGACCCCTCGTGCAAAGTTGCATGCTCTTGGGGCTATGGACTCTTGGTTCAGCCACCAAAATATGAATGCAGTGGAGCTGCGTCAGCGGTGTACATGAAACGAGACAGCATTCGCTTCGTTTCAATCGATAATATCGACAAAGAATATATTATTACAATGACACCAAGAGAAGCTTTCATGGCAATTAAGGCCAGCATGTCCATCCGCAGCCATGCAGCAGCAGCAACGAGGGTACATCTCAAGAAAATACAACTACCAGTCCATACCCACTAAAATGTCATGCAAATTTTACAATATACAGAGTACCCAATGCTGTAGACAGCAAGCTGTTTCGGCCATAAAGGCCTCATCAGTACAGCTACGAGCTAAATAGGCCGAGTTACCAGCCATGGTGCAAAGGAGGCACCACAGACATTAAGGTAGCACGTCGCTCTAGCGCCAGAGTGCTCAAACTACAAAAAGTAGCGGGCATTGCGCGATGCAGCAGCACTAGAGCAGCCTACTGAGAGTGCTCAACAAGGCGAAAGCCGAGGAGCGTGATACCCAATGCTGTAGACAGCAAGCTGTTTCGGCCATAAAGGCCTCATCAGTACAGCTACGAGCTTCAATATACAGAGTATAAAGACATAGCAGACTCAGCGGAGGACGTTCAGGTTGGTTGTAACTCTGAGTTTCATGCCGCTAGGCAATCATCAGACAACTGATACTCGGGTCTACCCAACAGTATGCTTATAAACACATAGGGCCACAAGCATAAACAAATTTAGCGCTAAATCTGGTGTGAGGTATGGGGAGAAAGCTGGCGCGGGCCAAGGCGCGACAGTGGAAGTGCCAGGAGGGTGGCGGGCAACAGGCAGGTGTGAGCATGAAAGTGCGGAAAGAGGCGATGGGGAGGCAGTGTACAGCAGATGTGTGGGGGGAGGGTGGGGGTGCCAGGAGGGTGGCGGGCAATGGCCCAGTGAGGTCACTACAAGTAGGGAGTCGTTTGGTGACGGGCAGGCGTGAGCAGAGTGGCATCGCCAACAACAGGCCAAGGGATTGTGTTATTAATAATAATGGGTGCTCAGGCAAAGTGCAGTACAGTACTTGGTCAGTTCATATGATAGGTGTGAAATTTGCGAGGCGGAACTTATTCTCATGCCTGCATTTCGAGACCATCTCAGACCGCTTGTTGAGTAGGAGCTTCTTGGGTGTAGTCAGGATGTGGAATTTTTCCGCGGTACAAAGATTGCATTTTTTTGACTCACATCTGTATGATCGGCTCTTCTCCCGCACCTTCCATGTGATGGTCAACGGCTTTCCCTCGCTCTTCAGCTCCATACGTGTTTTGCGAGCTCAGTGCTGTTTTTGTATTTTTCATGACGCATGGAGGTCAGGTGGTTGGCGTGACGGGCTTTGAAAGGTGTCTCTGATAGGCCGATGTAAATCTTGCTGGTAGATTCTGCAGTGGCCTCATACACAATCTCCTTCGTCTGGCACTCTCCGCGCAGCGGGCAGGATTCCTTAATTCTGCAGTTGCATGCCTTGGTTTGTTCTGGCTCTCGCAGGTTGCTCTTGTTGTGGCTGCTGATGACCGCTCCCATGTTGGGCATACAACTGTAGCTCACTTTCAGAGTGTTACGGTTAAAAATCTTCCCGAGCTTGGATGTTTTCGGGAAGTGCCTGGAGACAAGGCTCAGGAACCTACCAGCGACGTTTGTGCTAACGTTTTTGGAGTAGGGAGGGTTGAACCATATGACCTTCCGGCTGCGGTTCTTCCTGCCCCTGCGCTCATGTGCCTCGGGCTGAAAGCTCAGTACTTCGGTGTATCCACTGGCCTTTAATGCGGTCTGGTACACGGGGGCTGCATGGTTGAATGCCTCCGCGTCGCTCGATATAGCAGAAAGGCGCTTGTTGACAGCAGCAGGGATGTTGTTGGTGATCCCAGGCGGGTGGTTGGACTGCTTGCTGACGTAGAGCGGGTTGTCATTGGGCTTTCGGAAGGGTTGAAATTTCCCGGTGTCCAGGTTCATGGTGACATCCAGGAAATCCACCACCTTCAAGTTCGCTTCGATGGTAATTTTTAGGTCGAAGCGCTTGAATATTTCCGTCAGCTTTTTTCTGAGGCGGTCTGCAGCCTGTGGGCTGGTGTCCTTGAGGGCGGCCAGTCCATCGTCTCGGTAGAGGCCGATAGCGGATCTACCGACGAGGCTTAAGAGCTGGTTGAGAAGAAAGGCCCCCACAAGTTCGCACGTCTCAGTATAAAGACATACAAATTTCGCACTTTCGGATTCCTCAACAGTACCATCCTAAGCACAGGCACACTAAACGGGAAGAGAACACATTTATTTATGACATCGTATTCCTTTGGATGCTTATTTCTTCTTCTTGTGCTATTTTCAACAAGGCAACACTTGTGCTCGTAAAAATACTAAAAAAACCAATTTTGAGATTCCACTTAGTGCCATCGGTTATTCCAGGTAGGAATGCTCAAACCATTATCATCTCACTACACAACAATATGTACTTACTAAGATTCGCCATGAGAGCTTGGTGTCCGCGGCTCTTGGAAAGCGCAGCTCGTCTACTTCTCGATGCCAGTCGGCGAAACCAGCAAATCGGGGAGAGCAGTTTCTTCCATACATAGAGGCCAAGATAGCGTTTGCGATTCAAATTTTCTACTCGGCGTCAAAGCACAACATTGAACTCATCATCTTCCATTGCTGCAAAGGCAAAGGAGCGAAGACAGGCCGCGAGAAAGGCCAAAACAATTGCCAAATTTCTCCCCCAACTGCCATTGTCGTCATCATCTTCAGCAACACAGTTTTGTGCAGACTTTTTCCCGCGGGATCAGACCCAGGAAAATGAAAACGACCCACTCAGTGGCCTGGCGCACGGACAGATAACATCTACATCAACCTTGTCATGCTGCCGAAGAGCGATCTAATTATTAAGCGACGAGTTCAAGAACGAATTCCAGTTCAGCTCCGACGACATGTGGCGGACGGAGCATGCTTTCACTAGCGCGGGTCAAAGAATGCAAAGCCTGAACTTGGAGTCTCTTCTCAACAACACCCATCTTGATCAATCACCGCATCCCTCTCGGCACAATAGTCGTGGCTAGTGCTGGGTGCGGGAAGTGGTTTGTTTTTACGAGAGTGGCGCCGATAAAATGGGCAGCCCCAACAAGAAGCTGCTTGTTGCAAGAGAGTTGCGTTTCCCAGACGTGCACAAGGCTACATCCCTGAGTAAGCTACTTGGACTAGACGGTATCGGTATTGAAGACAGCAATGCCCAGCAGGAGATCTGTGATCATGTTCGTGAACACCCAGAGAGTCTAGTGCTCATTCTAGATGGTCTTGATGAGGTGAACCTGAAAGACATGAGCAGTTTTGTCTATGATGTACTGTTTGGGGAGGAGCTGCAGGGAATTAATCTAATCTCATAGTAACATCTCGACCATGTGCTGACATATTCCAGTTGTCAGTATTACCTCACTTCTACCAGCGCATCGAGCTAATGGGATTCAAACAAGATGATGTGGAGAAGTATATCCGTAACACGCTCAGCTCGGAGAAAGCAGAGACCCTCGTCGCAGAAGTAAATCGTTCAGCTTATCTGGGTGGGATGATGGCGACCCCATTCATGGCACAGGAAGTGTGTGTGCAGTACCAATTTGCCTTGGATGCGCCTCAGTGCACGACGGACATGTTTGAACAGATGATATTATCAACCGGAAATACGGCCGCTCATACAAGCAGTGGAATGAGGTACCAGTTGAGGCACAACTGCTGGTGATGGAAATAGGACAGTTTGCCTTCAATATGCTTGCCGAGAAGAGGATGATCTTCAATGATGTCGATCTCCAAAAGCAATCTCTCACTG